CAGGCCGGGCCTCTCGGCGGAGGGCTCGGGGCTGGGCGCGCTGCCGTGAGGCAAGCCGGTGCGGGGTTCGGGCCAGGGTAACGTTTCTATTGTAAGATTAAAACCAGCAAAGTTAGGTGACTTCAACAAGATCGATGTGCTGCAGTCCTCTTCTTCCCCTATAAAAGCCAGTGCTTGCTAAGGTGGCCATCCCATTTTGGGGATTTCATAGAATGGTAAGGGTTGGAAGGGACCTTAAAACGGCCTTAATGCTCCGCGTCTGCCCGCGTGGCCGAAGGCGGCCAGACCCCGCACCGCTACCAGAGAGCGGTCATCCTTCCGACAGAAATCCCAACGGCCTTGGAGTGCCCAGTCCGGGACTCTGCTCCGTGCCGGCTTGTCCTTAGACGGCCCAGCTCCGCGCGGCTTGCTGCATGCGACGCTGCTTCAAATTGAAATACGCGAATCGCATCACGACAGTGCGACAGGGACTGAGGGCTTAATGCAAGCGTGATGTAAAAGGCTGGCACAAGCCGCGCAGGATAGCTGCATCGTTTTGGCGCCGGTCCCTATCCTTTGCTGACACGGTGCCGAGTGAATCTAAGAAGCAAAGCGCGTAATCTTTCAAAGAACTGTGCTTGCCGTCTGAGGGATGGAGGAGGAAACGGAAAGGCTAGTTACACTTGGATATGAAGTGTTAATGCGCTGATTTTTAGTTAGGGGGGGAGAAGGAATGGGGTTGCTATGAGTAAAGTGCATTTGAAAGCTCGTTTCACTTCTGCTTTGGCACTGTCTGCCATCCAGCGAGTATCTGGTTACTGCCTTTGAGCTGTTCACAGGAGCTGATCTGGGGACGGTTTGATTGAGAAACTCGTACTGGAAATACCACATTTCATAGAAGGAGACGGCGAATAGAAACCCTGCGTTTAGGCTCTATCGTATTTCTCACTATCTGTACTAGAAATTAAATACCCCACAGCTTTGTGATTCAGTGTTGTGCTACTCATAGCATGCCCACAGTTTATGTTGAAGCAGTGGAAGTGCTATGCGTGTGTGTGAATTAAAAGGTCTCCATATGAGCTAGGCTTTTCTGGGTTTGAGCGATCAAGTTAGGTACAAGAACCAAGCCACTCATTAGAGGACTAGTGGAAGACTAGATTGCAAAAACCGAATTTTGTTGTTGTATCTGTTGGAATCAGCCAGCAGTTTCATTTGTGCTGAAGTCCCTGTTATTAGGGGGAGAAACCTTCATCATCTGTGTTGCCTATGAAAAGAACCAATTGTTCCCCTCTACTTGTCCAGGGTGTCTGATATTTTCTTTCATGATCTTCATTCCTGTGGATGGTGACTATTTCCCTTAGAGAAGTCGAGGGAGATGCAAGAAACTGTCTTCGTCCACAGGCTGTGTATGCTGATCTATGATTTATCAGAAGTGGAGGTGTTTCTTGGAAATCACAGAATGGTAGGGGTTGGAAGGGACCGCTGTGGGTCATCTAGTCCAACCCCCCTGCCGAAGCAGGGTCACCTACAGCAGGCTGCAGAGGACCTTGTCCAGGCGGGTCTTGAATATCTCCAGAGAAGGAGACTCCACAACCTCCCTGGGCAGCCTGTTCCAGTGCTCCGTCACCCTCAGAGGGAAGAAGTTCTTCCTCATGTTCAGACGGAACTTCCTGTGCTCAGAATCATCTTCTGAAAATGTTAATCTCTGAGGGAGCCCTGAAATAATTTTTCTCTCTTCTTATATTTTTCCCTTACATTTTGTCTGCAGATTATGTTGCTGTTTATCACTGTTCCTATGTAAAAAGAAGGCAAATATATTTTCCTCTGCCTGAAATAGTCTCAGAGCTTTTTGGCACAATTTCCCATCTTTACCAACTCAGGATGGTAGGATATAACCCCCAGAGCCAAACCAGTTTCTTGTATCATTCCATCCAGTAAGTATTGCTGGCACATCCGTGCAAGGTATGTTTGCAAACATTTGCCTTGTTTTTGACTCTGGTAAAATTATGTTCTGTGTTCTGTCTCTACTGTTATGAATCTCCATTTACTTAGTAGAGCAAAGAGAATCCTCTTACCGCTCTTTGTGAAGAAATGTCTACCTCTGAGATTTTTATGGAAAAAAAAGCTGGAACAGGTTGCCCAGAGAGGTTATGGATTCTCCTTCTCTGGAGATATTCAAGACCCGTCTGGACGAGGTCCTGTGCAGCCTGTTCTAGGTGACCGTGCTTCAGCAGGGGGCTTGGACTAGATGATCCACAGGGGTCCCTTCCAACCCCTAACGTTCTGATCCTGTGATTCTGCAAAATGAATCCAGATTTTCTGAAATGACTGTGCACTTTCAGTCTATGATTTTGGCTCACTAGTTGTCTGTGTAACCATCTGAAAACTTACAGGCAGGAGAAAGTTTCAGATATATATTAGCAAGAAAATTACACCTGCTTCTGGGAGATGAACTAAAACACGGACTGTCCTGAAGTCCAGATTGGTCAGAATTTGTTTGAAAGGCTGAATGGCATAATTTTGCCTTGGTTTGTTTCTTAGCAGATTGATGCAAGGTGAGGTAATAAGAAGCTTTCTATCTGTGCCAAGGCTTAAGAAGCCAACCTCAAGCTCACTGTGCTGCTTTGCTCCTTGCGAAGCCTTACATTGCAGGGGTTGGTTTGCCCATGTCCGGTAGGAACAGTTACGTAGTGGTCAGAGTTTACTGAAAATCAGAACTGGTCCTGTAAAACAATAGCAATAGGTGGGGGTTTTTATAGTGCGAGGAGCTTGAAACAGACTCTTTTGCTCATGATTTTTTTTGATTAAGATTTTTTTTCTATTTAAAAACAAAACAGTTTTCACTCTTAGTAATGAAATGATCCACTTAATGAGAATGCGTGGAATACTATAGATCTCCCCGCAGGTTTCTTGGCCTCAACTTCCCATTCATTTAAAACAGGAAAACCATTCATTTAAAAAAATAAAATCATTTTGTCATCAAACCTCCCTGGTCCCCACTCATAAGTCGGGAATTGAAACGACCCTCTACCCTGCCAATCTTTTACTAGGCAGGATTTTAGTGCTTCAGAGAATTGTCCACTACTCTCTATTTGTTTTGTTGCACAAGAAAACCACAAATTCATGTGTGGTTTCTAAGCACTGGTTATTTCGATGGATTCTGAGACAAGTTTTACACTGACTTAAATCATGGTGCAAGTTTCTCATTGTAAGTAAACTATTTCTAAAAGAGGAGTATGTGATAAAATAAAGTAACTTGAGCTAATTCAGCACTCTGCAAACATGCAAAACAAGTGTAATGAAGATGCCCAAGAGGAAAAATTGTGGGAAGATAGCCTATATATTTGGGGAGAACTGCTTAAACTCCCCTAGTAGTTATTCATGTCGCCACAGGCTGGGCATTAGCTACTGCTGGAACAACTGCCGTTAGCGATGCACTCAGCCTCTCAGCAGAAGCTACGGAGCACACACTGCAGCAGCACTGGGGAGTGTGGCTGGGTTTGAAGGAACTGGTGACGTCTTGGGTTGAGCTGGGAGTATTGGGAGCTGCAGGAAAAAGAATCCATTGATAGATGTGCTGGTGGCTTGTGTTTCGAGTAGGGAGGTGGGGGTCCAGAGTAGGAGGGAAGGCTAGGATGAGGCCAGAACTGAAAAAGAGCCAGAGAGGGAAAACTGCAGTTTTCTAACTTCGCTTACCCTTTACTGTAACATTTCAAAGTTCTGTTCATCCAGAAAGACAGAATGCAAGAGAAATGCTTTATTTCCCTCTTGGCCTTCACCTGTCTCTGCCAGAACAGTTTTCGTGACCCTCTTGGGATGAGGGAGTATTTGTTTTCCAGTTTAAACTGTAGTTTGCCTGCTGAGGAGGGTGGATACAGATAATTGAGAGCTTGCAGGGAAAAACTTATAACCCGTAGTCACAGTGTGTCTTACTGAGGCTGCTACTGCCAGCTCTGCTGGTGGTTTCTGCCATAAGGCAGATAATACTATATTCACTTTACAAGCCAGTACATGTTAAATTTGTGCAGGTCACTCTGCCCAGCACCCATCTGTGATCAGTTTCTGTGACCTGTAAGTTGATTCTCATCTGCATACTCTGAAGAATAACCACTGAAGTCAATGACTTGCTTCTCTTAGACACCAGGATTGCAGTTTGTACTACCATTTAGTCACTGTTAAATTTGACCCATAAAGTTTTTGGAGATCCGTATGCCTGCCCTGCTTCTGAATTTAGCTCACTGCACTCTTAGTAAGTAAAAGTCTGGAAGGAACAAAAAGAGACCTCCCTCTGAAATTTAATCCAGATCACACACATGGTATGGTACAGAGCAAGAACCACAGAGTCCTCTGCCAGTCCTAGATCTTATAAAATCTGAATGCACCAGTAATCACTGAGGTTATTTTTAAATGTTTAACATGACTCTTGAAGGCATATACATATTTAACATCTGTATCTTTTTAAAGTATTATTTATTCTAATATGTCACAGCTCTGGCAGTAATTTTGTGTTAATTGCTCAGAACAGGCTGAACTTTGAGGGGATTGTGAATTTAAGTATGACATTTACTGGGGTGGTTTTTTTTTCAAATTTACACATACTGAATAGTCAACTAACCTGACATCATTGGGAGCTCAGGATGGTTGGTGACTGTCTATTTCACTCCACAGATGTAGATTTATTACCATGAGTCAGAGAAGTAGAATTACCTTTTCATGAGACTGGAGTGATCTGTCTTTCTGTGTAAGATGCTACTATGGTAATGTTGGTCGTGTTACTAGGGTGACCTGAAAACATTAACCAAGTGTTTTACACGGAATTAATTTTAAAGGAAACTGGCCATGACCTTGTGTTCCTTTACTAATGCATATGCTTATCCATACTGAGAAATATTCTTTAGTATTTGAATTTTAATTCAAGAACTAAAGCACCTTAATGGTGCTTAAATCCCCAAAACAATTTAAGCACCATAAAGGTCACCGTAATACCAGTTCTCTGCAGTCTAGCCCTAAACTTCGGTGCAGCCAGGCATGCACAAACATCAGGATTCATCATCTGCATCTTCATTCTGT